TGTGTGGTTTCTAGGGTGTTGCTATGTGGTTACTAAAGCGCTATTTCGTGTCTAGGGTGTTCTGGTATCAGAGCATTGCTTTGTGCAGAGTTATTATTGTATTATTTATTTACTATTATAGTATGTATTTATGTTTTGAATCAGCAATTTTTTAAATTTTGAGTTTTCATTTCAATTTGTTTACATTTTATCATTTTTTGATGTGCGTTTGCCATTTTTATCAGTTTTTGTTTTTTAGTACTTCAGCATTTTTTTTTTAATTTGTTAAAATAAAAAATTGGTGTAATAAATTAAACTACATTAAACAAAAAAAATAGGAAGAAATTACTAATAAATATATTAAATGAAATTACTAATAATTACTAATTTAGTAATATACTACTAAAGAAATTACTAATAAATGTAACATATAACTACAAAGAAACAAGTAACACTGAATTAAACATAAAATTAAGCAGAAAAACATGCTCCAATAATCTTTGTTTTATTTACAGCTTTAAAAACAAACATTTTTGCAGTCTAATTGGCAAGGCAAGATTTTTATTTACATTTTTTTTTTTTGATTTACGTTTTTCTTCTAATATTTATATTAGACATTTATGTTATATTATTCAGCTTTGTTTTAAATAATGAAAATCGTTTATGTTGACAATAACATCACTGGCTGTGTGATTGCTAATGTGTTCTGAGTGATTTTAGCACATTGCTATGGTCTTCTGGGTGGGTCTCTCTATCCTGCATACTTATAGACTAGCTTTTTCCTTTTTGCTGCATACTTCACTTCACTGGCCTGCAGAAACAAAGACATTTCAATCCAGACCTCTTATAGATCATTAATGCTTTTAAATTGCACCAAGTCTGATAACAAGAGTTCTGCCATCCTTTTAAATCATTCAATAGTAATCACAGCGGTAATTTGTTAAAAGGGTTATATCGGATATCGGTAATAAAGGAGACGTTATATCAGGTTAATCAGATAAAAATGCTACAGTGATGCTTCCTAGTCTTACAAAATGTGACTAAACAAACACAGTAAAGAGACAGATTATTCATTAGGACTCACATGCATGGATGGGAATTTTCTCTGTTTGCTAAAGCAAGATAAAGAATGCTTCAGTGACGGATATGATTAACCATTAACATCACTTCCAATTTATGCTACTGTATAAGAGTGACATAAGGACACACAAAGGCTTCTTTAATAATCCGTAATATATATTTACATACAAGTCTACAATTATATGATTTTATTGCCGCTGTCTTAAGAAGAATTGTCTTTATATTTTGGAAAGGGAACTGGTTTCTGGCTCAGAACATTGCCTGACAGCCTGCGGGAGTGTTTTCCTCTAAGGTCATCCTGTACTTTTGAATTCAGTAGAACATCGTAGTTTATTTGAAAACAGATAGCAGACCCATGGCATGATCAGTTAACACTTTATTCTGCTGAGTGGGAGAGTAGAGAGAAATGGTGCTATTTCCTATCATAGTCATCTCTTACAGACATGAAATGATGTGAGGGAGTAGTAGTACGTGTAGGATATTACAGGAGTTCTCCTCAATGACACACGGTCGTATGAGAACACATGAGTAGGTAGCCAGTGCATTAGAAGCCATGAATCTATGGTCCAGCTTTAGTCTGGCTTGTAAAGAGGATTTCCTCCAAGTTCCTCTGGTCTCTGTGGCTTTGTTTGGAAAGCTTGGCCCTTGGACTGAGTTATACTCGGGTGTGGTGTAGTTTAGCCATTAGTAATAGACTTTTTCCTTTTTAAGAAAGGTTTAACAACTGAGAAACTGTAAACATAAATTTATTCAACCGAGTGTTATGGAAATTTTAGACACAGCATAATATTATCACCTCATAAAGCATTGTGTTTGTTTCCTTTCCTTGTGATATTGCTTCCATATGTTGTGAGCTTTAGACACTTACAGCAATGGTAACAATGATAGCTACTTTTATTATCAAATACATTTTATGAAATTATTCCGTAAAGCTTCTAGTGCAGTCTTGTGCTGGAAAATTGTTTTTAGTAGTGGGTATCTTTATTGTCCCTATAGAGAAATTGCAGTATATATCAAGGCATAACAATACACTGTAAAAAAAAAAAAAAAAAAGGTGTAGGATTTACTTTGAAACAATTTTCACTCAGAATTTGCTAAATTAAAAACATGGCAAGTACAACACTGAAATAAATGTGTAATTTTAAAGTAGAACAAATAAAATTGTATTTGAACTTAAAAAAAGACAAATGCAAACACCAAGGTCAACATGGAATACCAAAACTTCTCCTGTAAATATTTTATAAATATTTATAAATAAATTGAAGATGTATTTTAAATAATATTTTAACTGCTAATTGTAATATATCTAATGATAATATTTTATTTTATCAATTTAATTCACATTTTAGTAGATAGAAGACAGGTTTATATCACTCCTTCCACTTAAAATAATTAGATACATTTTAGACAAGATACTTTTTGTACAGTAGTCTCTTCAGAAACTTATCAAAATGACAAATGGGATGAATAATTGCACTTTGAATATTTGACTCAGGCTAAATTTCAAGTAACTCTGAAGTTTGTCCAGCAATTTTGCGATGGTGTCTGGGTCATCAGCACCAGACAGTCGGCTCAGTGTTGAAGTCCCATGAGCGAGAGATGAGGTAGCGGCCTGTGGTGAATTTTACGTGAGTGGAGCTATCCTGAGCCCATGTTCAAAACAGAGTGCTGTTTATAAGCAAGGGCTCCCCCATGAACAGATCCAGCTCTGTGCGCTATTCCTTCCACTTTATGTCTGGTGTGAAATTAATGTGTCTACTGGGAGGAACTTGCTGGTTTAGATCTGTTTGCTTCCTTGTATAAAGACTGATATTAGAAATATGAAGAGAGGTTAATACATTTGGTGTAAACTCTTTTTGTAACTCATCCTGAACTGTTTGCAAGATGGACTTAAAAGATACTTTAAATCATGTGTTGCTAGTTTTGATGAAAAAAAAAATCTCTTAACTAAAGCCATATTTAGAGACCAAAGTATCATTGTGGTGGGCTTTTTGAGTAAGCAACTACCCAAAATATTGCAACTGCATAGCAATATGCTAAAACCAGCCAGACCATTTTGGTAGAAATTTCTTCAGAAAATATGGTGGAAAAGTAGTTTATTTTTTAAATGCTTTGGTGGTCTTCAGTAAGGTCTTGGAAACAAATTGTCATAAAAATAACTGACTGACCAGTGGTATGCAAATTAGATATTTTTGAATACTGCTCATAACAGTTCAACAGTGTTTTCATTTAAAGCTATTTGCTGCATTTTAATATTTCCATTTGCCCTTTGGATTTCCTGACTGATTTGGATATCTGCAGAGATATTTCCGGAACTTTCGTAGACGTTGGTTCAACGATTTTCTTATCGACTCTGTTCAGTATTGTGTTTTAAGTTGCCATCAGAAATTAATGCATCAAGTGCATCATGGGAAGAAACTGAAGTATTAACACCAGCATATTAATGGATAAGGTAATGTACTCTACTTGAGCCTATTGATTCAATGACAGATACATGTTGAGACATATTTGAGTTGATCTTAATAAAGTGCAATAGTAGTGCCTTCAAATCTACTAATAATGCAGAAAGAGTACTAAATTGAGTTTTTCCTCTTAATCCTGCTTTATCAACAGTGTGTCCTTGAGCTAAGATTTTGTAGGAGGTCAGTTATTTCCACTTGGATAGTCTGTTTGGTAGAGCTTGGCCTTATTGAGTTGAAATGACAGAACTAAGTAGAGCACTCTCAAAATTGATTCAAACATGCCTAGATCCCTTTCGGCTTCAGAGGAAGGAACTGTGTGCAGTCTTGTGTGCATCGTATTGTTGTGACATCCCCTTCCCAAAGCTGGTGAAAAATTAGGTCCATCCTCTGACAGAATGGAGGCCGTTCCTTCCAAAGCTCAATCTTTTCTTCTTGAGGGTAATTCAGTGTGGCTGATCAGACTCAGAATCAAGGCCTAATTGTCTGTACATTTGTCATAGCCTGAAGTGTCATGTAGCCCACCAGTGACTGTCCTGGCAAACTTGGTTTCCCTGGTATGATATGACTAAAGAATAACGGGAAAAAATAAGTTTTGATTTCACACCAGAAGGTCTGACCAAATTTAGTTATGTAAATGGGTGATTTCTGCCACATTGTGCAACTTAATGCTTCAAGTCAAATCCATTAGAAACATTAGAAAGATTCATTTAGACAATGAACAACAAACAATTTTTCCCAAAGCTTCTAGAGAGTATCCTAAAGTCATTTAAGTTCAGTTTTTAAATTGAATACAAGTCTGACAGCATGATGTTACTGGTGATTATATCCTTGCAGTGAAAACATTATTGGTTTTATGATAACAGAGCACTTTAGTGAACCAAAGAGGGCCAGCAGAGGAAGCATGCTGGCAGGCAACTGTTTAAAAAGACATTGTAATTTATCACAGGTCCCTCATACTGTAACACTTGTGCAGGGGAGCAGTATAGTATCTTTAGAGTGGGAGTATTGGAGAGAGAAAGAGGAAAAGAGAGAGCACGAAGAGTAGGGGGAGGAGGGTGTGTCGTTGAATGAGCGCGGGGGAGCAAGGGGAGGGGCAGTTCCTGCGTCTGTCTTCTCTGTCATTCTGCTGCTGCACAGCAAAGCAGCGAGACACTCTGCTGAAGAGAGGAGAGAGGAGAGAGAAAGAAAGAGAGAGAAAATGAGTGACTGGGTAGCACTAGAGCAGCTGCAGCTGAGGCAGTCTAACTGAGAGGAGCCAGATGCTGGATTTACATGCTAAAGACACCAGGCATACGGATTACCTCTTCAATACAGGATCTAGCGACTGGTCTTTCTGCATGTGGTATTGGAGAGATAGTTCTCACTGTGATAAGGATTTGGCAGCAAGCGACAGAGCTTGCAGACCTTGCACCTTGTCTCTTCTTTTGCTTGATTGTAAAACCATTTGACTCACTGATGCTTTTACATGGTTTCACGCAGGAGGAATGCTTGGGGGTAGCCCAAGAGGACAAGGAGTAGATCTCGAGACTGAAGCTGACAAAACGTCCAAAGCCAAGACCCACCAGGGCCAGGCGGGAGCCAGCGGAGTTGAGGGCATGGCTGCGAAAAGGGGCAAGTCAGGGCTCCCACAGGCTACTCCTCGGGCTGAGCTAAAGGTCTACCGAGCGGGAAACTCGGAGGGTCGTCTTCCAGTGCCTAGTAACCTGCGCAAGCAAAAGTCCTTGACCAATTTATGTGTGCTTACGGACGCCGAGAAGAAGATGCACCTGTACCAGCCCAAGTGGTCGGATGACATTGAAAAGCCAGGGGCAGGTCAGAACAAGTCCGGCAAGCTCAAAGATGCCGGAGTGGGTACAGGCAAGAGTATCCCACTTTCCAAGAACCTTTCCAAGTCAGAGCATTCACTGTTTCAGGGAAAGCCAAAACCCTTTAGCCCACCTTCCAAACTGGGCAAACCCAGTCGGATACCAAAGGGTCCTTACGCTGAGGTCAAACCCATCAGCAAGGCTCAAGAGCTGGCAGATGACGGCAAGTCAGATGATGAGATCTTGTCCAGCAAGGCTAAAGCTAATGGCAAGAAAACTTTAAGTGTTACCTCAGGGGCAGCCACCCCAGGAGGGGGCGGAGGGGGCAAAGATGCACCAGAACCAGAGGAAGGGGACAAGACCTTCCTAAAGGTGGACCCTGAACTGGTTGTAACAGTACTTGGGGACCTGGAGCAGCTTCTCTTCAGTCAGATGTTGGGTAAGTAATAACAAGATCCACTAATCCGCTTGCAATGCCGAAGAATGAGCAATGCTGCCTGGCTGACGGATCCAGCATCACTTCTATAGTTCAACCCAGCCCTGCTCTTGCTTAGCAACCACCTCGCTTTGTATTTCTTATTCATCCTGTGCTGCTCACATAACTGTGCACACTTTATTCATATATCTATTCTGGGCTTGAAGCTGCATCTGCATGTTTATGATTATGAATGTTGCTTTATTTCAAACACTGCATGCTTTCATTGAACAATCGCCGCATCCCTTTTTGTTTACATTGCAAGCTCATGTCTTGCATCTGTGCACGTATTGGGTGAGACCAATCTGCGCTCCAATCGGGGGGAAGGGGGTTGATCCAGGAATATATTTGCCTTACCATTGTAGCAGAGTTGACACACTGCCCTAATCTCCAGAATATGCCACTTTATGGCGAGTTCACACTGCACGATTTTAACCCTGATATTCACTCGCCGACAGGTTTTGCGCAAATTCACTCGCTCACGCGAGTGACAGTCACGCAGTGTAAATTATCAAAGACGCGATCTGAGAGAATCGCCGATGCCTGTGAAATATTTGCCATGCTAAATATCTCGACCTGTCGGCAATTCAGAATCCTGCTGTGTGAAATGAGTTCTGACTGAAAAATACATTGGCGATGACCTACAGCCAATGAGAGAGCAAGATACAGGGCAGTGGGAAGCTTGGGGAGGACTTTTTTTTGCGTTTTTTATTTTATTTATTTATTTTTTATTAAGCAATTAACCATGTACAAACAACGTGGCAATATCATCAAATTTTTGCATTATAATATACTATATATATATATATATATATATATATACTGTATATATAATAAAATTAAACCTAAAAGGGGGCTAGGGTTTTTCCTGTAAATTATATTTTTCTATAAAGGACAAAAGATTTAGGCTATTGCATTTTTCTTTTTCATCACTTTGAGGGCTTTTGTATAAGAAATAAGCTCATTAAAATGCACAAAACGTTGGTTTCAGTTTTAAGTACTTAGATTTGTGTATATAAAATTTTCCCAGCAGAAGTATGTTGTTAAAAAGGAAGTCATCTTTGTTATTGTGTGTTCGGGGAGGACATTACAGACCACATATCAGCGTGATCTTGCGCTATTTCCTTATCACTTCTCGCGTGCGTTTGGTTGTGAAACGTAGTTTGCGGACCAGACAGAGTTGTCGGCGATTCTTCCTATTGTAAGTCATGCAGTGTGTAACCTCCTGTCGCCGATCCATCATGCAATGTGAACGCAGCAGCAACTGAATGATACCCCTGATAGTCGTGCAGTGTGAAAACAACGGTGATCTTTGAAAATTATGCAGTGTGAACTCTGCATTAGCTGTTTTGGATGGCTAGGATTATTTACTTATATTTTGTAGATATGTTACCAGTTCTACATGAATGATACGTCTCAGTTCAGCATGCATTATTGTAGATAGCGTGAGCAAGCTCACAATAGAAGCAGTATAATAAAGGATGCTTGATGTCGTAGCAGGAACTTAAAAATAAACCTCGCTGGGTTGAATTGTTTTCAAGTCATGGTGGGCAACATATTTAGCCTTACCGCTGGTGCCATTGATCTCTGGGGCAGTTGACAGATGGTCCCCCTCTCTTTTCCTCTCTCCCCTTCCCTCTCCCTCTTTCTGTTACCGGGGGACTTCAAAAGAGAATAATAGGGGTGTCACACTCTTTGAAAAGGTCAGTGACTCAGAATGAGACGGCACCGACACATGAACATTGTGTGTTTTGTTTTTATTTAAGAATACATGAACAGTGCGGTGACTTATTAGCTATTTACCTTTGCGCTGCAGGATTGGTCAGCTATGTTACCGTGCATGGTACTTTAACGCATATTTCACACAAGTGATGATTTGAGCATGATTATTAACAATCTGCCACTGAGCAATAGCTTAGCTTTTTTAATGTTAGGGTGGCCAGAGAGATGTGGTGTGAAGTGAATCCACTGAGTTGAGATATGAGAAAATGGAATTCAGTCTATACTCATTTCCTCTCCTTCCCTGGAGCTTATTTTGACCTTGCTGCATGGCACCTGCTGAGGGGTGGGGGTGGGCAGAATTGGGAAAAAAAAAAGGTCTTATATTGTACGGATGATCTGGATTTGATATTCTTTTCAACCTCTTGACCGCCGTACATTACTGTTGATTCCTTTAGCTTGTGCTGCCCATCGGGGTTAGCTGTGCAGGCAAAGGTTTTCACAGCTTCCCTCCAGGGTTTGAAACGCTGTGTTATGCATGTGTGACTGAATGCATTGGGGCTGCTTGTCCCCTTCCTCTGCTTTTGACCCCACAACACAAACTCAATTACACAAGACTCTGTTCCTCCAGTCAGTGCTGTTGTGACACTGGTTGTTATGAGTGATTGTTCCATGAATATAAAGTACTGCCCAATGCAAAATGTTCTTTCTGTTTTACTTTTGACATTTTTACCATTTGATTGATAACTATAGTCAGAGACGAGACTGGAAATGATAGAGAGAAGGTTGGGGGAATCGGTATAACTGGCAAGTCAGCCATATCTTTATAATTATACAAATTAGATCTCCACTTGGTAATAAAGAAACATTCTGCTTAAGAGTTTAGACACCTTTGGTATCAGACCGTGACAGTTGAGAGCCACCAGCAGAGGGTTAAGAGAATAACTACTAAGATCAGATGGAAAACCCCAACGTGTCTTCTAAATACTTAAGGAACTTGACAGATGCTTCTTACTTGTGTTGATAAGAGCTTTATCAAACCAAATATCCAATCGTGTGCACTAAAACTCCTTCTAAATAAATAAAACCACAGCTTTTGGATTTAAGGATTAATTAAGCATGAAGATAATGACAATTTAAGTGCCACATTCAGTAATGTTTGTAGTTTAGTTTAAAATAGTGCAGTAAAAAGTTACTGTTATTTCTTTCTTTCTTTCTTTCTTTCTTTCTTTCTTTCTTTCTTTGTGATGAATGAAATCAAGCCCCACCTTTTATTTTGCATTGAATATTAATTTTCTTTTGGAAATTTGTTAAATTACAGAGTTTTTTTTATTTTAAATCTTGTTATTATTTTTTTATCCACACTATAGTGAAACAGACATAAAATGAGGTTTTAGCAAGTAAACTAGATTTTTTGAGACAAGTGGTGCTCAGTGTCTTATTCTGCTGTTGAAGGGTGTGTCTCAGAGCTGAGAGCCTCCTTACCAGAGGCACTTTACTGCTATCTTCGTCGTCATCATCATTTCCACCTCCGTCTGGCTTGAGCTTGCTGGTTGGTCTGGGTTAGTAGTGTAGTAGATGCACTGGACATGAATTCTGCTGACAGTTGGATTCAGGGTGAGGTTACTGTGCTTGTATTGATCTACAAAAAAAGAAAAGAAAAGTAGAATGTGGTGATAACGATACAATAAGACAATACATTTATCTCAAATTCACGTTAATACTGCAGTCAATACAATCCATTTCCTCTGGAATAAAGCATAATGACCTGGAAGCATTTTGTAAGTCATGGCACAGGATTTCCTTATTTCCTGTATTTGATATTGTTGGGTTATGCGTGATAAATGTGTGTGTCCGCATTAAATTGCCTGTAGAATTGAGCATTGGGCAGTTAGAGAAATTCTAATGTGCAGGAAATGGTTTTATGAATTCAAGCAGCCCCTTTTAAACGGAAACCATCTCTAAAATGCAGTGGTTTTGCTGTGTATATTATGTTTGCCTGAGCTTGACAAGCCAGGAAATTGTCGCAAGGGTTAAAGTCAACCTGATTGACATCTCAGCATGCTGCAGGCCTTCTCTTCACATCTTGCATGATTTCATTTCAACCAGGTCTGGTTGTGTAAGAGCAGATCTCAAGGGAAACCACACAGACATACTGTATAAAGACATACATACAGCCATGCATACATCATCATTTTGAATGCATAAAGTATATTTTATTTGCAGTGACCGGCCATCATTAGTTCTTTATTCCCAAACCTAGTGACCTGCGTACGTTTTGGTTCATCCACCTCTGTTAACATGGAAACATGCACAACCCTACTGCCTCCATTTTGTGAGCACTGAGACAATGACTTGTGTGCTGTTTTGACGGCCAAAAGATTCGTAATGTGATTACTGTCACGACCAACATCTCCATGCCTCAGCATGCTGTGTGTGACTAATGCAATTTAAGTCCTAATCGAATTTCTGCATGTCTGCAAAACGGAGAAGTGGAAGGAACGCGCTCATTTATGCAAGCATGCAACATGGAAATAATGTAAATTTATCTCTTAAAACATCCAGAAATATTACGAAATGTATATTGTTTTTGTCCTTATGTCTGCAGTTTCAGCCTGTTAAGCACAATTTTAGTCGTCAACAAACATGTGCTTGAAAGCAGCCCTATATTTAAGCATGTTGTAAAATAACTCTCAAAAGAGCAATACTTTCCAGTGTATTTCCATGTCCAATGGTCAACTCTTGGATGCATGCACATATTTAGCCTGTTTTATGTCAGTTAAGTGAGAGCTGCTTTGTGGGTCTTCCTCAAATGTCCAGTTTATGCGCAGTAGCGGCACAGTTGTGTTTTTGAAGGCCATAATTGTTTTGCGGCTGAGACGGCCTCAGCCGTCATGGGGAAATGATTGTGTAAGCTTTTCTCAGTTTTATGTGAGGACATATCTTGGGTTTGCCTGTGCGAATAAAGGGCAAGAAATCAACTCTTTTACCAATAGTCACTAGTGGTTACTAAAATTCTCATTGCTCTTGTATTACTCATAAGAAATAGGTGATGTTAATTATGAATGTGCTAAATGCCACTGTGCTTGTTGATAATAGGCATTTCTACTTAACTATAGCATTCAATCAAACTCTATTCTGCTTTGTCACATTGCCAATGGTACCCAGTGCTAATATTTCCTCAAATTGCCAGGTTTTGTTAAAAAGGAATTACTTAAACATTAGCTGCCAATGTATGAAACTGG